CTTGTTGTTGTTAGATGTTTGAAGCATAAATTGGGTAACTTGTTCACTTCTGTGTATGAAATTGGATACACTTACTGGGATAATCTGCTGAGTATTCGAGAGATTTTCCGAGGACGGCCGTTGTTTTCTTGATGACAAGCTTTACTAAAGCTTCCAAGTCTTACTTCGAATTTATCATCCAAGAGAATGCTGCTTGCTTGAAGATCTCTTTAAAGACGGGTTACATTGGAGAATTCGGAATCAGTATGAAACAAATGGTGTGATTGGAAGTAAAAGAACCGTAAAAGAGATGGTGTTTTTTTGTGTACCTGTGGACTATAGGTGGTGAACAATCATGGTGTAGATAAGAAAGTCCTTCTGCTGCTCCTAATGCGATTTTCAGTCTTGTGATCCAATCGAGAGATTTCAATCCGTCGTCGACAATGGAGTTGATTTTATAGAACAGTGAGCTTGGCAAATCCCTGTTTGGCATGTACTTATACACCAAGAACTTATGTGTTGTGCTCTCTAAGCATTTTCCTAAAAATGGGACTATTCTTGGATGAGCAAACCGGCTGAAGAAATCCATCTCAGTTAGATATGCTTCGTTGTTCTTTGTCGATTCCAAGCTGATTCTTTTCACGACTATCTGAATTCCGGTTTCTAATACGCCCTTGAAAAGATCCCCTGATTTTCCTTTCTTTATCAGGGTTGAATCGCCGAACTCCTTTGTGGCGTTGAGTAGCTGTTGATAGTTAAATGATGATCCCAGACTCGCAAAGTTTATCGAGACTCCTCCTTCTCCTCCTCTTGAGGTAAGTACTTCATCAGGAGGTAATGGCCCAACACCGTTGTGTCTCCCTCTAGAATGTGTACTATTTGATGATCTGTTTCTTCGACGGACACAGAAACTCACTGTTATTGGTAACAGTATGAGAATGAGCATAACCAAAATAGACCCTCCAACTGCAGCTACTATAACTATATTCTTGCCCCTGAACCAGGGAGAATTATGCTTCTTTTTCTGCTCAGGTCGTCCGAAATTGTCGAAAGTTAATCCCTTTTCGGAATAAAACAACGTGCAATCCGACAATCCCCGCTGGTTCATTGCCTCCTGAAGACAATTGTTGCTCAAGGAAGCATTGTTGGGGATAAACTCAGGAACTTTGCCTTCAAAATAGTTTCTTGACAGGTCAACAACTCGGAACCTTCTCAGTAAGAGTGTGAGATTGCCGTAAAACATGTTCCCGGATATGTTAAGCATTGAGACAGTAGAATCAAAACTGACAGTGGTAAATGGCAGCACGTCGGAGAACTGATTTCCAGAAACATCTAGAATCTTCAGCTCCGGTAACGACCATAACCTGGAAGGTAAAACGCCGTTGAAACCACTGCCTCTCAAGTCAACTATCTGTAGTTTACTCAGGGAACTAAACAGATCAGGAGGTAAAGTTCCTGCAAGTCGATTTCCCGCAATTACAAGTGTCTGCAAGTTTCTTAGCTCTTTCAATTCTGGTGGAACCGAACCTGATAGGTCGTTGAAGCCGAGATCAAGGTCAACTAAAGCAGAAAGATCCCCGAGTGATGGAGGTATCGTAGTGGACAGGCCGTTATGCGAAAGATTCAGACGTTGGAGCTTTGAGAGTGCTCCAATACTAGCAGGAATCGAACCACCTACCGAGTTTGAGGAAAGATCAAGAATTGTTAGGTTCTGAAGAGATGTAAGAGACAGAGGAATAGTCCCATTGATTGAATTCTTCGAAAGATCAAGAACCGTGAGGCGCGATAACTGACTCAAATCTGCAGGGATGGTTCCTATGATTGAACAAGAACTAAGGTCCAACACATCCAAAGTCAACAAACTCGATCCGAACAGAACCGGGATTGGACCTGGAAGAGAGAACCTTGAGGCATTAAAGGAAGTTAAACGGGTGAGATTAACGAGCGAATCGACTGAGAATCGCGGGTTTTGATTCCCAATCCTTGTTCTTCTGAACCCTGAAATGTTGATATTAGTTACACTACCATTCTCATCACAACTTACACCGTTCCAATTCAGACAAGGATCGCCTTTTACAGGCCAATCTCTGCTTCTTAACCCAAGAGAAGATCTTAGTTCCAAAAGAGCCGATTTCTCAACCGTAAAAGAAGAACTTATCTGTTGCTCCAACGTTGACTCTAACAACAACATGAAGAAGAAGAAAAAGACCAAAAACGTTGTCTTCTTCTTCTGATCCACCATGGTTTGGTTCCTCTCTCTCTTAACTCTGATTGATACCAATAAATCGAATAAACCCTTAAAACCCTTCATTACTCGGATTCATTTGGAAAGAATCTTTGCGATTTAAGGCAAAACACATCACTCAAAAAAATCAAATCTTTTTTTTTTCTTCCTTTGATTCGATCAAAAAAGGAAACTTTCTTTTTGTAACTTTCTATGAATTCTTTTACAAAAAAAAAAGTAACTTTCTATTATGAATCTTCAATTAGATAAAAAAAAACAAAATATAAGAGCTCTTCTCTCTGTTTTAGACTCTGCGACTTTGTGTGCACTTTGAGAATCAAAACCATTGTTGGTTACCAATCATTTTCTGCTCTCTCTCTCTAACTCTTCCATCTTTTTTTTTCCTAGATTTAGAGAGAGAAATAACGAAAGTCTAAAATAATACGAAACCAACTGGAT